CTCACAAATATATTCCTTCGAACTCTGAATCAACCAATCAGGATCTTCAAGAGCCGATAATGAAATGGAAATGCCATAGAAATGAGGATTTTCTTTCCTTCTGTTCGATATATTGTAAGCCTCTTGGCTATTCTCAGCGATTCTGAGCGCACGACTGTATCTCCCACAATGACAAGTACATGCATAGCTAGCATTGAAGGGTGCTGCATGGAAACATTCACTTAAATACGGAGGCCCATAACAAGCAGTATAAATAGAGCGGTGAATTGGAAGGGTGAGTGCAGTAAGTTCAACGGACGTTCGAAGAGAGTCCGCATTGTGTGTGCTCAAGCGGAGGCTGGGGCTCGGCTTGGCATTCTTGAACGTGCGAGTTGAGTGGCGGAATCCACACCCCTTGCTTCATAACCGTATTTAATACCTCTCACTGGCTAGGTTGACACTTGAACATGTGTTGCATGTCTATAGGCCGAATAAGTGCAGTCTGCTTCTGCATTTCTAGTCTCGGCATATACAAAAGTGTAGTTTTCACCCAGTCTAACTTCGTAAGAGGGCCACTCATTGCTCAATACTGATGGGGACAATATCATGATAGCACATAAATAGAAAGTTATATTTTCCCTGCTTCTTCCACATCATTCATCTTGAAAATACGTCTTTTTGATTCTTCACAGCTCTAGGAACGGGCTCGTGACTCGAGGAAGCGCGACTTAGATCCTGGGAATAGGATCGGAGGCATGCCGAATCACGGCATTGCTCCTCAGCCAGGGTATAAGTATTCAACGTGCAGTAATATCTACTACCATAATATCCCATCGGACTCTCGATTGGCATACACCCGCAAAGTTAGCCTGCGAAATGACCCCCGACAGATATGTGTCATCCACGGCCCTCGCCGCTGATTGCTGTTCCAGGTGCTACCGTAAGTCTACTATGCACAATAGAAATATTCCTACTAATTCTGAATAGCTTTTCTTGAAAATCCAAGACCACACTAAGCAAAAACACGCTTCTATCTTTTATATTGTATTGCGAAACCGAGGAGCAGGTCTGCGCAATTATTCATGGACCTTGTATCATGAGTACAATAAGGCAATGGGAGAGCTGGAGCAGTACAAGATGCACCAGTGATCTGGGCACGGATATTAAGAGACTATTCATTGCGTCGTGAATAATGCTCTATTTGATGGCCATGAGGCACTGGCAAGACGAATTCCAGTTCTTCTCTCGACTCAATCTTCTTCCAGAATCAATATAAGTTTTTGATATACTACAAGCATAGCCCCATTCTCGTCCTCAGAGGAGTCAAGTATCCATGCGCGTTTTGCACCCTTCGTAGTGGCCCCGTTCTCTTTGAGGTATAATCTGGTGGCTTGGAGACCCTTGGATTGAGCACTACCAGTATAGATCAACCATTCAAGCGGCGAGCAGTACTGTATATTCCATCCAGAGAATTAGCCTTGGCACTATTCTTTAGCGGAATTCTAGTTGCCGTCGCTGACTAATCTTTCCAAAGACCGAGTCCAATGGCTGCATTCTGATGTATCGGCTTTATGGAACGAATGGGCCACGAGAATACGGGACCATATCGCTGGGAGGGTCAATCCAAACATTCAATGCCAACTGTACGATCTAGGTTCGCGACACAGCCTATGGCTTCCTCTGACCTACCACTCGATTGGGGCTTTCGGCGGTAAGACGTCAAGGTATACGAGATTCAGTATGTATACGTTCCACTTACTTATAAAAATCTCAAAAATAGATCACCCTCAAGAAACACACCCTTTGTTTGCAAAACCTACTCAAGTATATTCCTAGACAAGGAATGCTAAAAAAAAATTTTGGCTTGAAAGACCTAGCTTTTTATCAATACATTTCAAATTTGCGATTACTAGGCTATCGTATGCCATGCTTGGATTACCTCCATGAGCCAGCACGTGCAGCAAGGCTCTGCAGAAGCGAAACTATCTCGATGCTCCCCCTTTTTCTAGCTTGGTCCAGGGGAGATACACCATCATTATCTGGAATCTCAGGCTCCAGATCCGTCAGTTGCGCCAGTTGAAGGACCAGTCTTTTGTTGCCAGTGTTTGCTGCGTGCCACAGTACCGAGCGGCCCTTCTGGTCTCGCTCATTTATAAGAGACTTCATACTTGAGAGTAAAAGATCTATGATCTCGTCTCTCTTGGGGCTCAGGCCGTCGTATGACATGGTGGCTAGGAGAAGTGCACTATTCCCCATGGAGTCCAGATGGTTGACGTCAATGTGCTCATGAATTAAGAGAATTTTTATTGCAACGGGGTCGTCGTATATGACAGCCAGATGGAGTGCGGTGTACCCTCGGTCATTTTGAATGTTGATATTGAGTTGCGGGTCTTTCAGAAGCATCCTCAAGATCTCATGTTGTTGATATTCGAGGACTATCAGGAGTGGAGGCTGAGATTTTGGACTTCGACCATTGATATTTGTATCATATCGACGAAGTAGCTTTCGGACGGTTGGTAGTTCTCCTTGCATGAGAGCAAAGGACAGGGCGGCTTGTGCCCATTGTTTGGGGTAAGAGACATCTAGAGGCTTGCCGCATGGCAATAGACCAACAAGACAAGAGGGTTTTGGAAGCGCTGATCTCATCAGACGGATTAGCTGCCTTTGGTCTTACTTATGCTTGAATAAGTCGAGGTGACTCACGAACGAAATGTGGGGGGCGCGCCATGTTTTAGAAAAGGATGAGATTATCGCGCTAATTTTTCGCTAGATGATTTGTATCTCAATAAAGGAGATCTCTTTGCTGTATCATGCGACAATTGATTAAGCACAAAGACATTCAAGGCGATATTTATAGTGAGATTTTATTCCGAGCATCTTTGACCTTGAGAATATTTGATCTGCATTCACATATTTTCATGTATGAGCTCCCATAGTTGGTCTGCTCCGATTTTCAGCTTTACTTGAAGCTCATCCAATTATAATATGGATCGCTGTAGTTCCCAGAAGAGATCGATTCCGCGGAGCAAGCAATTGGCTCCCAGGAATGAAGCTGTCATGGCCTAATGTATTCGCAGATGCGGATGGTGTTTTGCAAAGCATCAATTCCCAAAAGTAGGAAACCACAAGCTGATCATAGACTCAAGACTTAGCGCGAGACAACAGAAAGATATTTAGCTTCTTCTTGTTGAGAGTAGCAGAGATGAGCTATGTGGGACCGTGCCCTGCACAAATCGTGTATACTGAATGCCAGTCCTCGACACATTTTTAGCAGAGTTCCCAGGAACTTGGTGTGAATAGTTCATTGCGCGAGCTCAAACCCGGTGGCAAGGCAGATATTCTTAACGCAAAGAATGACGACTCTCCTCCTCCTTGGATACACTAAGGCTCCCCTGGCTTTGAACTAAGCGTCGCCGTATTTAACGATCTTTATTTCGCAATCGGGACCCTCTTCTCACCGTGACACGTTGTTTCAATGTCTTTTGTCATGACTTCCGAAATATATTTCCAAGCACTGCTAATTACAATGCTTCTATTTGCTTTGATAGCCAGGCTGCTCCTCTTATGGGTCTTCGGAGATGATTGGCCATTTCATAAGACGGACTTGGCCCTATACGTCTTATCCTTTCTCCTGTCCGCTGTATTGACAGGGCTTTTCTGGAGCGAGAAGAAATCGATATGGATTCAAATTCTCCTTGGAATTCTTTCAACAATTCCTTCTATGCAAAATGTTCGTTATAGCTTGAGAAAGCCAGTTCTACGCTAATTCTGGCCTAGTTTCTCCGCATCGACCTCCAGCAGCTCAATAATCCATTCATAAATCGATCGACACGTGTCGTATTCAGAATCTATGCTTTGACATCAACGGTCTTGAAGATAGTATTCACATTTATTGGAATATTCATGCTGGGTGATATTCATTTCACCACTCCCTTCCTGCTTTTCCTGGATCATCTCAGTGAAATGGCTTGGTGCCTGTGGTTAGTAAAATGCGCCACGCAGGGCCGAAAGAAGCTACATTTTATCTTGACCCATTTATCAAACATGGGTGCTATATTGCTAGGAGTCGCTATCTTTGGCGCGATTTCAAGAAAATGGGACATTGCACTTGAGGTGATTTTGCATCATCTAAGCTTACATTATGGGAGAGCTGACATAGATTAGATCCAGCTCATCATATGTACTATGCGGGCGATATACAGCCAGGCTATTACGTAAAGTGTAATGAATGGCTTTATGTTCATTGGCTGAACCAGATTAGGTCATTCCGAAGGATCAGAAAATACATATTGCCAATGAAAAGGGGTCTTAAGTGGAGAAGGGGGTGAAATGGCTGTAAATTTCGGTTGTGACTTTTTCATGTAACCCCCATCCCGGTGATATGAAATGCCCTATGTGCTGAAACACCCGCGAGGTACCTACAAAGTCCAGCATGTTTATCCCCTAACAACTAGCCAATTGTTATTTGTGAATAGGGAATGCCTCAATTAGATGACTATTAGTATCACTGCTCTTGAAAAACAAAGAAAATACTATGTCACAATGCTGGAGTACAAGACGTCATGTACTACCAGAAAGTCTGCCGTCGACTACTGGGACGCCAAGATCACCCACCAAGACGTCAAATATAAATATGAAGGGCAATTATGCGTGATTGAACCTTTTTGATTGCGGTCATCATCTTTTCAGGCCATTAAAATGATGTAAGTTACGACAATGTTGAATTGAGCCAAATTCTTGGCAGCGGAGAGGTACAAAACCCGCAAACTTATGAAGTCGAATGCACGGGAAAATAACAATGTTGTAAAGTCGTGTATGAAATATACTACTGCCGCTTAATATAGAAGTCACCCCACAGCCCGTCTGTAATTATTACGGAAGATTACCTCGCCAGGCTCCGGCCGTCGATCAGGTGACGACCACGGCCGTCCGCGAGAAATAATTATGCGTGGCAAGACAAGACTTTGGTGAGGTTGTCTATCACTTGCGATCTTGGCTGTTGGCTAATGGCTGTAAAGCGCTTAGTTGGAACCTTTAGGCGCGAATCTGAAGATCAGGACACGCCCAGACTGGCAGCCAAGCACCACGGTTAACCCAGACCGTCCTACAGCAGAACAGGCTGGGCGATATGTGGGAGGCAGCCAGAGCCATTTCTGTGAACGCCGTGTGATCCAGAACCCATCGGAACTGATACCGTAACCTTGATAAGCGGGTTTTTGCAGCGGTTGGCTTTTGCTAGGTGATTGGAGTTCTAGAGCGGCAACTTCAGTCGGAGTCGAAGTGGTTGGGGTGAGTGAGTCGCGAAGGGCGACAATTCCAAGGTCGGTGTGAAGAGACGAATTGGTGGTGCCAAAGGAAAGAATATTAACGCCAGAGCCAACGTTGAGGGTTTGCAAGCAGGTGCCTGTGTGTGCATCCCAGATCTTGATCGTCTTGTCCCTAGACCCGGACGCGACGCGGCTACTGTCGTGCGAGAACACCGCTGAGTTGACATCCCTATCATGGCCCTGCAGCGTCTGCAGACAAGCGCCGGTGTGCGCATCCCAGATCTTGATTGTCTTGTCCAAAGACCCGGACGCGACGTGGCTGCTGTCGGAGGAGAACACCACGGAGGTGACATAGCCATCATGGCCCTCCAGGGTCTGCAGACAGGCGCCGGTGTGCGCATCCCAGATCTTGATTGTCTTGTCATTAGACCCGGACGCGACGCGGCTGCTGTCGTGCGAGAACACCACTGAGTTGACATCCCGATCATGGCCCTGCAGCGTCTGCAGACAAGCGCCGGTGTGCGCATCCCAGATCTTGATCGTCCTGTCCCAAGAGCCGGACGCGACGCAGCTGCTGTCGTGCGAGAACACCACTAATCTGACATCCCTATCATGGCCCTCCAGCGTCTGCAGACAGGCACCGGTGTGCGCATCCCAGATCTTGATCGTCTCGTCCCAAGACCCGGACGCGACGCGGCTACTGTCATGGGAGAACACCACTGATCTGATCCAGTCGCCATGGCCCTCCAGCGTCTGCAGACAGGCGCCGGTGTGCGCATCCCAGATCTTGATCGTCTTGTCCCCCGACCCGGACGCGACGCGGCTGCTGTTGGGGGAGAACACCACTGAGTTGACTGGCAGACCATGGCCCTCCAGCGTCTGCAGACAGGCACCGCTGTGCGCATCCCAGATCTTGATTGTCTTGTCATTAGACCCGGACGCGACGCGGCTGCTGTCGTGGGAGAACACCACTGAGTTGACTGTTCCATAATGGCCCTCCAGGGTCTGCAGACAAGCGCCGGTGTGCGCATCCCAGATCTTAATTGTCTTGTCCAAAGACCCGGACGCGACGTGGCTGCTGTCGGGGAGAACACCACTGAGTTGACTGGCAGACCATGGCCCTCCAGCGTCTTCAGGCAAGCGCCGGTGTGCGCATCCCAGATCTTGATCGTCTTGTCCAAAGACCCGGACGCGACGCGGCTGCTGTCGTGCGAGAACACTACTGAATTAACATAGAGGTCATGGCCCTCCAGCGTCTTCAGGCAAGCGCCGGTGTGCGCATCCCAGATCTTGATTGTCTTGTCATTAGACCCGGACGCGACGCGGCTACTGTCATGGGAGAACACCACTGATCTGACCCAGTCGCCATGGCCCTCCAGCGTCTGCAGACAAGCGCCGGTGTGCGCATCCCAGATCTTGATCGTCTTGTCCCCCGACCCGGACGCGACGCGGCTGCTGTCGGGGGAGAACACCACTGAGTCGACTGGCAGACCGTGGCCCTCTAGCGTCTGCAGACAGGCCCCGGTGTGCGCATCCCAGATCTTGATCGTCTTGTCGTCCGACCCGGACGCGACGCGGCTGCTGTCGTGCGAGAACGCCACTGAATTAACATAGAAGTCATGGCCCTCCAGCGTCTGCAGACAGGCCCCGGTATGCGCATCCCAGTCATTTCCCAGCCACGGCATCATCATGATATCTTTAGGCCGCTCGTGCCAGAACAATTCCTTGATCATACTCCGCGATGGACTGAACACAAGCCCACATCCGTACACCTGAAGGGGGTGGTTCTCGATCGCGCCTCGGTGGTATAGAATGAACCGATATGCATCTTGAGCGAGGCTGCTCAGTTTGGCTGCTGCCGATCGTTCCTATAGCGGTATTAGAGCAGTTCCAATCCCTGAAAATGAACACATACCGACAGGAGATCCCTCAGTCCCTGTATCGACATGATTCCATCTGAGATGCTTCGCAGGAGACTTAGTGCCTCAAACCAGTAGAGACACTGCGTTCGAAGAAACGTGTCGACGGTGCCACTATCCTGGACATCTTCGTATGATCCGCTGTCTCGTAGATGGTCGACCCAGTAGACACATGAGTACCGTGTGACTGCGAGCGGATCGGAGTCGGGGGGGCTGCGCCTGTTTAATATGAGTACCGAGGGCGTGCAGACTGTACATATCCCGCCGTAACGTCTTCCTCATGATTTGGAGGGACTGCGTGAATATTCGGCGATGAGCAACCGTAGGGCCACTCGAGAAGATGCTCTGCCCGCCCTTTCCCATCAGATAGTCCTTGGCAGACTGATGCACAAAGTAGATGCTTTCGTCGCGGACTGTAAGAAACGATCCGCTCCTCTTGATTATCGTCACCAGACTTTTTACCTTTCCGGCGATCTCGCCTGGGAGTCCCGACACCACCCCCAGCTCTAGTAGCTGGAGCGGCCGATAGGCCAGGGTAGCAGTTGAGAGGACTAGTTGACAGAACTCTCGGGTTCGAGGTGCTTCTTGTTCGATCTGGTGTATCATTCGCGCATACATATCATCCAAACCTGTCGGTACGTTATCCACCACCTGCTTCACATCCCAGCTATCAACGCCCTGGAGCTCCTGAACGACGAGCGCCACCCAGAGAAACGTTCCTTCGGCTTTCATCTGGAGGGTCTGCTGTACATATTCCCGCAAAGTATCATCATCCTCCAGGGACTCAAATTCCGCTATCCGGTTCGAAATGTAAGCTCCGATAGCCAGAGACACAGCTTCGGCGTTTTCCTGTAATTCCAGGCTCAATATAGATTGCGAGTCGTCCAGTCGAATATGCTTCATAACATGGTTCCGGCTGGATATGATCCATTTGACGTGCGGTAATTCCCTTGTCTCTAGTAGAATCAGCTGTAAGAGTTTATCTCGGTCCTGCACGCATTCGTCGAGAGCATCGACCACGATGTAGATCATATCCAAACTGGAATCATGTAAGATATCTGAGAAGATGTTGCACAGTACAGCCCATGCCTCTGCATCCCCAAATAGCGGCTCTCCAGTGTCCTTGAACCTTTTCCGTGCACAGGAGAGCAATGGCGGGTACATGTCCACGAGCATATAGATCAACCCGCGCAGGACAGCATGAGCGTTACTCAGCTTGGGGTCGGTGGCTTGGCAGAAAAAGAACGATAGGGAAGTCTTAGCTTTGGGATCTTCTAGCATCGTAGTAGATCGAAGCTCGTCGATAATACCACAGAGTAGCATGGTCTTGCCTTTGCCAGGGTCTCCCTTAACCCAAAGGACCTGACTGTCGTTACTGTCGCGCCAACACTGGAACTGAGGATGGCGGAAAATCCATTCATAGGAATCTTTGAGTGTCGCCCCCCTTGTCTGGTGGATGTTTGTCTTGGTATCGCGCGGATCTGTCACTGCGAAATATTCGAGGCAGCGATCCCTGCTTTGTCTGTCTGGGTCTTGTGAGTTATCCTGTTAGACTGGGAACCGCCAGGTGGAAAACTTGAGTTTAGACATACGTTCGACGTACATATGGAAGGTGCTAGGATGGCACTATGTCAGTACTGTTCGTCAAAGTCATACAATCGTCCTTATTGGCTTACGGATTTGTCGCGGTCCCTTGGAATTGGACATTCCCCCCATTGTTATCCCACTGTTGACTCTTCATTGGAGACGACTAGTTAGGCGATACTAGCTAGTTCTCCTTTGTAGTGTGCCACCCCCAGCAGAGAAATTCGGTAGTTGACAGAATTAGAATCGTCATTAGAAAACCGATTAGACGACTGATTCTTCCTGCCTTGTACTTGATTAAAAAGGAGGGTCGTCAAGCTAAAAGTCACTACAGATGGCGGGGCTGACTCAGGCAGTCTTGCATGGTACGGGCATTGGATCTGTCACTGGCTCCGAAATTGTAGCTGCTCCGGCGGTAAACCATGCAGACATCAGGACATTGCCTGCACGATGCCCACCAATCACTGCGCCCAACTCTACCTTCGGGCAACCAGGTGGGGGACAGCGCTCATGCAGCGTGACAGATGGCACTGCGCTGCATCGTATTGCCACGTTGCGTCCCCACAGTTGCAGATCGTTCTCTTCCATAGGGCAGCTTCTCGACGTGAGATTGACCTTTTTCTGACGGGGATAGCACGGACCGCGTTTCAGCCGCAAGCTTCGGCTCTCTGGCGCCCTCGGCGCCTACAACAATCTAGTATTTATAGATGGCAAGTACTCCCGATAGGTTCTTGGAGACAAGTAAGGCTATATTGCCCCAAGCATTATACGCAAGAATCCACCTTGAGCTCACCCAAGCCTATCATCATCAACCACTCTATACACTCCGACAGAGACACGCGCACCCCTACCAAGATGACGGGTGCGGAAGTAATTGGTGCGGCATCTGGGCTAGCCGGTCTTTTTACCACGGCCATTACCTGGTTTGACTATATCTACGTTGCCAGAAAGGCGGCCCCGCGACTACAGTCCCTGATCGTGAAGCTTGGCAGTGCGCAACTGAGACTAACGCGCTGGGGCCAGGCTGTCGGACTCACAGGCTCAGATATCGAAGAGGAGGAATCGCTGAAAAGCTCGGGCTCCTTCCAGCTCGATGAGGAGCAGGAGAATCAGGCGATTCGGACATTTCAGATCTTAGCGACTCTCTTCGAAGAATCCAGGAAGATCTGTCACCGCGAACGCAAGGGAAAGTCCGAGGATGACCCTGAAGTGAAAGCGAACGAAATAAAGCCGTTCGGCCAGGATGGCTTTAAGTGGAGCGCTATGCACCGCTACCTTCACGAAACAATGCAAAAAATTGTCCACGAGCGCAGAAACAAGATGTCAGTTCCTCGACTCTTCAAGTTCGCTATTTACGACGAGAAGCATCTCGAGAAGCTGGTCAAGGACATCAATGACCATATTGACGCACTGTACCAAATTTACGCTCCGTCTGCGACCGATGAGGAAGAGGCGGGCGGGGAGGAAATGGATAAGCTTCTCAAAGTCATGAAGGAACTGCGCTCTGCATCGGAGCGGGATCCAGTGATGAACACGGCTGTCAAGAATCTATTGGAGCAAAGTGTAAGTGGAGGTCGATATTATTCTCCTATCTTCAATCTATTATCGTGTTGTTAATACAAGCAGAATGAAAACATGACCTTCAACACCACGGAGTCTACTGTCCAGAAAATTGGGCAGGATCAGCAAGGCCACTATGAAATGACGATCGGATCTGATGCAAGCAAAAGAAGGTAAACCCCCGTCCCGGTGACATGAAATGCCCCACGTGGTGAAACATCCGCGAGGTACCTGACAAGCCCAGCATATTCATCCTCTAACAACCAGGCACTCGTTATTTCTGGATAGAGGATACCTCAATTAGATGATTCTTAGTATCACTGCTTTTGCAAAAGAAAGTAAATACCATGTCCCAATGCTGAAGTACAAGACGTAATGTATTACCAGGAAATCTGCCCTGGACGACGAGGACGCCAAGACCACCCACCATGTCATCAAAGATGAGTGTGAAGAATAATTCTGCATGAGTGTAATTTTACGATCGCAGCCATTTATCTTTAAAGCCATGAAAATAATGTGAGTTACGACAATCTTGAGGTGAGCGAAACTCTTGGCAGCGGAGAGGTACAAAATCTGCTAATTCATGAAGTTGAATTCACGGGAAAATAACGACGGTGTAAATTTGTGTATGAAATATACTACGGCAGCTTAATATGGAAACGGCCCCACAGGAGGTATGTAATTATTACGGATGATTACCTCGCTAGGCTCGGGCCGTCCACCAGACCCCCTGTGCGTGGCAAGACGAGACTTGGGTGAGGTGGTCGGTCACTTGCGGTCTTGGCTGGTCATTGACCATGGCCGTAAATCGTTCAGTCGGCATCCCCAGGGGCGAATTTGAAGATCAAGACACGTCCAGACGGGCAGCCAAGCACCACCGCTATTCCAGACTTTCCTATAGCCGAACAGGTCGGGCGATAGGTGGGAGGCAGCCAGAGCCAGTTCTGTGAACGCCGCGTGATCCAGAATCCATCGGGACTGATACCGTAACCGTGATATTTAGGGGATTGCGGCAGTTGACTTGCGCTAGGTGATTGGCGTTCTGACGCGGACACTTTAGTCGGAGTCGTAGGGTCAGGTGTTGCTGAGCCGCGAAGGGCAACGATTCCAACATTAGTGTGAAGAGAGGAGTTGGTGGTGTCAAAGGAAAGAAAGTCCCCAACGGAGCCGACGTTTAGGGTTTCCAAGCAGGCCCCGGTGTGCGCATCCCAGATCTTGATCGTATTGTCATCTGACCCGGACGCAACGCGGCTGCTGTCGTGAGAGAACGCCACTGAGTTGACATTGTCATTATGGCCCTCCAGGGTTTCCAGACAGGCCCCGGTGTGCGCATCCCAGATCTTAATCGCATCATCATGAGACCCAGACGCGACCCGGCTGCCGTCGTGGGAGAAAACCACTGAGTTGATGAAACTGTCATGGCCCTCCAGCGTCTGCAGGCAGGCCCCGGTGTACGCATCCCAGATCTTGATCGTCTGGTCGAAAGACCCGGACGCCACGCGGCTTCTGTCGGTGGAGAACGCCATGGATATGGCCCAGTCGCTATGGCCCTCCAGCGTATGCAGGCAGGCCCCGGTGTACGCATCCCAGATCTTGATCGTCTTGTCGAAAGACCCGGATGCGACGCGGCTGCTGTCGTGGGAGAACACCACGGATTTGACAAAGTGATCATGGCCCTCCAGCGTCTGCAAGCAGGCCCCGGTGTGCGCATCCCAGATCTTGATCGTCTTGTCGTCCGACCCGGACGCGACACGGCTGCTATCGGAGGAGAATACCACTGAGGTGACCTCGCTATCATGGCCCTCCAGCGTCTGCAGGCAGGCCCCGGTGTGCGCATCCCAGATCTTGATCGTCTTGTCGTCCGACCGGGACGCGACCCGGCTCCTGTCGGGGGAGAACACCACTGATCTAACACAGTCGCCATGGCCCTCCAGCGTCTGCAGAGAGGCCCCAGTGTGCGCATCCCATATCTTGATCGCATCATCATAAGACCCCGACGCGACCCGGCTGCCGTCGTGGGAGAACACCACTGAGTTGATGACACTGTCATGGCCCTTCAGCGTCTGCAGGCAGGCCCCGGTGTGTGCATCCCAGATCTTGATCGTCTTGTCATCTGACCCGGACGCGACGCGACTGTTGTCGTGGGAGAACACCACTGAGTTGACAATGTCATTATGGCCCTCCAGGGTTTCCAGACAGGCCCCGGTGTGCGCATCCCAGATCTTGATCGTCCTGTCGTCCGACCCGGACGCGACGCGACTGTTGTCGTGGGAGAACACCACTGAGTTGACATCGTCATTATGGCCCTCCAGCGTCTGCAGGCAGGCCCCAGTGTGCGCATCCCAGATCTTGATCGTCCTGTCGTCCGACCCGGACGCGGCGCGACTGCTAGCGGGGGAGAACACCACTGAGTTGACCCTACTATCATGGCCCTCCAGCGTCTGCAGGCAGGCCCCGGTGTGCGCATCCCAGATCTTGATCGTCCTGTCGTCCACCCGCGACCCGGACGCGACGCGGCTTCTGTCAGGAGAGAACACCACTGAGTTGACCCAGTCGTCATGGCCCTCCAGCGTCTGCAGGCAGGCACCGGTGTGCGCATCCCAGATCTTGATCGTCTTGTCCCAAGATCCGGACGTGACCCGGCTGCTGTCGGGGGAGAACACCACTGAGATGACAGGATAATTATGGCCCTCCAGCGTCTGCAGGCAGGCCCCGGTGTGCGCATCCCAGATCTTGATCGTCTTGTCATCTGACCCGGACGCGACGCGACTGTTGTCGTGGGAGAACACCACTGAGTTGACATCGCCATTATGGCCCTCCAACGTCTGCAGGCAGGCCCCAGTGTGCGCATCCCAGTCATTTCCCATTATCGGTATCATCGTAATATTTCTGGGCCGCTCGTGCCAGAACAACTCCTTAATCAAACTCCGCGATGGACTAAATACAAGCCCACACCCGTACGCCTGAAGGGGATTATTCTCGATCGCCCTTCGGTGGTACAGAATGAATCGATACGTATCTTGAACGAGGACGATCAGTTTGGCTGCTATTGGTCGTTCCTATCCCGGTGTTAGAGCAGTTTTAATCCTCAAAAATAAATACATACCGACACGAGATCCTTCAGTCTCCGTATCGACATAATTCCATCCGATATACTTCGCAGGAGGCTCAGTGCTTCAAGCCAGTAGAGACACTGCGTTCGAAGAAAGGTGTCGACGGTGCCACTATCATTAAGATCTTCGTATGATCCGCTTTCTTGTAGATGGTCGACCCAGTAGACACATGAGTACCGCGCGGGTGCGAGCGGACCGGAGTCGGGGGGCTGCGCCTGTCTAATATGAGTACCGAGAGCTCCTAGGCTGTACACATCCCGCCGTAACGTCTTCCTCATGACTTCGAGGGACTGCGTGAACATTCGGCGATGGGCAACCGCAGGGCTAGACGAAAAGATACTCTGTCCGCCCTTTCCGATCAGAAAGTCCTTGGCAGATTGATGCACAAAGTAGATTCTTTCGTCGCGGACCGTGAGGAACGAGCCGCTCCTCTTAATTATCGTCACAAGATTTTTCGCCTTTCCGACGATCTCGTCTGGGAGTCCCGAAACCACCCCTAACTCCAGTAGCTGAAGCGGCCGATAAGCCAGGGTGGCAGCTGAGAGGAGAAGCTGACAGAACTTTCGGGTTCGGGGCGCTTCTTGTTCGATCTGGTCTATCATTCGCGCATACATATCATCCAACCTTGTCGGTACATCATCCACCACCTGTTTCACATCCCAGCTATCAACACCCTGGAGTTCCTGGACCACGAGCGCCACCCAGAGAAACGTTCCTTCGGCTTTCTTCTCGAGGGTCTGCTGAACATATTTTAGCAAAGTATCATCATCCTCCAGAGACTCAAGTTCTGCTATCCTGTTGGAGATGTAAGCTCTGATAGCCAGAGACACGGATTCTGCGTTTTCCTGTAATTCCAGGCTCAGTATTGACTGCGAGTCGTCAAGCCTTTTGCGCTGATCAACGTGGTTCCGGCTGGATATGATGCATTTGACGTGCGGTAATCCCCTTATCTCTAGTAAAATAAGCTGTAGGAGTTTATCTCGGTCCTCCACGCATTCGTCCAGGGCATCAACCACAATATACATCATATCCAGGCAAGGATCACGTAGGATATCCATTAACATATTGCATAGTGCAGCCCACGCATCCCCGTCGTCAAATAGTGGCTCTCCAGTGTCCCTGAATCTCTCCTGCACGTGTGAGAGAAATAGTGGCTGCTGCTTCACGAGCATATAAATCAAACCACGCAGGACAGCATGAGCGTTACTCAGCTTGGAATCGGTGGCTTGGCAGAAAAAGAACGATAGGTGGGTCTTGGCTTGGGGATCTTCCAGCTTCGTACTAGATCGAAGCTCGTCGATGATGCCACAGAGTAGCATCGTCTTGCCTTTACCGGGGTCGCCTTTGATCCAAAGGATCTGGCTATTGTTGCTGTCGCGCCAATGCTGGAACTGGGGATGGTGGAGGATCCAGTCATAGGACCCCTTGAGTGCTGGCCCCCTTGTCTGGTGGATGTTCGTCTTGACGTCGCGCGGATCCGTCACTGCGAAGTATTCGAGGCAGCGGTCCCTGCTTTGTCTGTCTTGGTCTTGCGAGCTTTCATGTTAGACTGAGACCCGCCAGGTGGAAGCATGATGGTCAAACTTACCCCCGATATTTTGAATGAAGGTGCTTCAATAGCGCTATGTCAGTCACATTCGCCGAAGCTTTACAATTATCAATCTTGACGTACGAATTAGTCGCAGTCCCCTGGAACTGGACATTTCCCCTCTTACTATCCCACTGTTGATTCCCCATCGAGATGACAAGTCAACAGACACCGAATAGGTCCGCTCTGAAGTGAGTTGAGCGTATCTAGCAGTCGCATGGTAGTGCGCCACTACCAGCAGAGAAATTCGGTAGGTGACAGGATTTGAGCCGTCGTTACAAGATCAATCAGAAATGTTTCCGCCTTGCACAGGATGAAAAGGCTAACTTAGGTCATCAAGCCGAAAACCCCTGTGGGTAGCAGGGCTGACAGCGGACACCATCGCTCTTGCATGCTGTTGGAGCAGGTATTGCAATCTGGTCCCGAGTTGCAGCTGCTCCCGCGGCAAGCCCTGCAGATGTCGGGCTGGCGTCTGCATGTTGCCTGCCAATCACTGCTGCCCGCTCCTTCCCTGGGGCAATCGCGTGGGACAGCGCTCGTGCAGTGTGATGAATTGCACTTCGCTGCATTGTATTTCCACATCGCGTCCCCCATAGCTGCAGATCGCTTCCTGTGGGGCGGTCTTTCGACGTGAGGCTGATCCATTTTATGGCGGAGAGAGCACGGGCCGCTTTCCAGCTGCGGCTGAAGTCCCTTTCGCTCTTGCGCTTCCAGACATCTTAACTATCACAGATAGCACGAGAGACACGGAGCTTACTTGGATCCCACCCCAAGATGAATCTCCGGTTTCACGTTACTCTCTCAGGCAATCTGTGCGGCGAAACTTCCCTATTGAATACTCATAGGCTGCCACAGGTATTCAAAGATTATATGAACGTAATTGGTGATCCAAGCTGATACTCATTTGAGCTAATGTCCTTTTTAAATATCACATGATCTGCCACTCCGGCTCAAGAATCTGATAGGGCAGCCTCGAATACCTCGTTACCTATTGTCCTGTATCTTCCCCTGCGCCATGTTTAGAATCATTGAATAAAAGGGACAAATTTCCTATATGCCGAGTCCTTAGCAAGTCCACCGTTATGCTGGAAGGTTATGCTCCTGCTTCCAGTATACTTTCGGTTATACCTCAAGTCTTCATCGCAAACCCTGGCCTTTTTGATCTTAATTTATATGTACGAATCACAGCGCGCTCCGAGAGGTGAAAGCGCCACTCGAGTCTTAGGTATTTAGGAGCACTGAACAACCTGGTGTGTATGTTAGATGTGAGCGTCGCGGCTTCGGACACAAACAATGCCTTCTTTATGAATTTCAGTCATTATGCTATTATCAATAAGTTACTATAAGACACGTAACTAGCGTAAGTAAGTCAGTGGTTCGGCATCAACACCGGCGCTATAAGCCCGACTAACCATCTATAGCCTATCCATAGGCTAGCCTTTTCAAGCTTAGTTCCATTCCAGAAACCGAATCACGTGATCTTCCATTGAGGGCGAAACGAAAAACTTTCTGTTCCTCGGGGGATCGCGTAGACCCTGAACTCCACGTGACCATTGACTCACACCAAGACAGAATGCGGGGTTCTACCAAAGTCAACCGTTTAACTTGAACCTGGTGAGAACTGCCAAACGGTAGAAGATTGCACGCTCTATAGTGTAATTCAAATGTGGTTGAAGATCAAAATTGAGCTCTTTTTCACAACAAAACCGCCCTATCAACTTTGCTCAGCATTATTTACTTCTGCTCAGCCCTTCGTGTTCAAATGTTTTTGGTGTTCAACGGTCAAAGAACTCGCTGTGTGACTAAGTTAATTTACTCTGGCGTTAACCGGGCTGTCATTGAAAGGCTAAAGTATTGGATTTAAAATTCATAGTTTTATTTTTATGATAATTGAACAGTACATGTACGAACAGATGCACATACGTAAAAATTATGTTCAAATCGAATGGTTCAACTCCTTTCTGGCAGCTCAACGGTCTTTCTGAGCTAATCAGTGAAATTCACATTGCCAAAGCCCCGCAAGATCAAGCATGACTGTTACACCTGCAGCAATAATTTGATGCTGGCAAAAACACCAACAGTCATCACGTCTACGGGCCGACATTGCAGCATATTTTCGACCGCGTTGGCTTTACGGCGAAGCTTCGCATAGACATTCAATGGTGTTTGGTATCCTCAAAATTGTGGTGGAATCGTTGCGTCTAGCTGGTGGAATTTGATTTCAAAGAACCTCAAATTCAAATGCAATTAATTAAGCATATGTAATACAGTAATATTCGATATCAGATTTACCTCCACACTCTTCGACATTAACTCCCAAACTCTAATTTGAAACACGCTAACCCAGATAGGGTAAAGCCGTCGATCCCCGGGTCCCTAGAATAGAACCTGTATTTTACATGACGCGGGTGGAACCTTGTCCTTCGTAAATTACAGGAAACTGCCATACATCGATACCACTCTACCCTCTTCTCCCCCCACGGTACAGGATTCTTCATCTGGAAATGACTGTTGAGTGACATCTTACACTAGGCTTTCAATATGGCCCCGAGATTTCCCTCCTCCAAGCTGCATCTCATCCGAGACATGATAGAGAGCCAGTCACTAACCACTACTCAAATGGCAGAAGAGGCTGAGTGCAGCAAGGTCACAATCATAAATATTCGCAGAAACTTGCGGCAGTTCGGCAGCGTCCAATGCACCCCCAACTCGCATAGGTCAGAAACCAACCGTAACACCACAAATGATCGACGCGCTCTGCGACAATTTGTCGGAAAAATCGGGCCGGTACCTCGATGAGATGGCTGTCTTCCTCTGGGATGAGTTTTGTACGATGATCACAACCTCTAGCATCAGGAGAGCCCCGGTGGCACAAAGGTTGGTCTAAAAAGACGGCCCGACAGCATGCAAAAGGGGCGTAATGCAGATTTGCGAGAACTTTATCTCCATAATTTGTCGGATTTTCAGTCGTATCATCTAGTTTATGTGGATGAATCGGGATGTGATAAGAGGGCTGAGTTTAGACGGACAGGCTGCTCACCACTTGGAGTGGCTCCTTTGCAGGTATCACAGTTCCATCGCGATCGGTGATATCAGATTCTACCTGTATATACGCAGGACGGGATCGTCCTCTCGCGTGTATTTCGCGGTGCAACCGACGGCGCTGTCTTCGAAGACTTTTTAGCTCAGCTTCTTCAGCACTATGGACGCTGGCCCGAGCCTAAATTTGTTGTGGTTATGGATAATGCATCATTCTATCATTCAGAGCGGGTTTCGCAGATGTGCGCGGACGCGGGGGTGAAACTTGTTTATCTGCCGCCCTACTCGCCGAACTTAAATCCCATCGAGGAGTTTTTTGCTGAATTGAAAAGCTTTATCAAAAGTAACTGGAGTTACTACGAAGTGGATCCCGATCATGGTTTTGATGTTTTTCTTACATGGTGTATTGACATGGTCGGTGCAAAGCCAGAGAGTGCTAGAGGTCACTTTCGACACTCAGGCTTGAAGGTAGAAGTTTGCGAAACTTTTAATCCAATTTGTGGTGGCATAGCTGAGAGCTACTTATTGCCCTATTGGGCACCTATTGTCCAGACCGTTAATAGACAATGATCAACCAGTACCTCCTCCATGGCCACCACTATTGCCGTCACTACCTCCTCCACTAGGTTCAGCGCAAACGTTCAGAATATCAATCAGAAACTGGTCAGGTTAGCATCAATTCATCGACACGATGTTCGCGTCTCACATTTTCAGTGTTGCAGCAAAGGGTTTGACCCTTGCAAGAGCTACCCACTATAGACCGGTCAGCGTAACCTGGAGTAAAAATGCGTTTGATAGGAACGTGAGAAGGCAGCGTACAGCTTGCACATCCAACTCCGATGTCAACGGTTTTGCCTAGAATTTTTACAGGTACCAGAATCTGGCAGCATTTTGGCGTCTGTTTGCTACTAGAGCATGTTATGGAATTTTGTCTCTCGGTGAGCGGGGGATGCAATGACGCTGCTGGCTGCGGTAGCAATTATGAAGTGAGAGAGAAGCATTTTGTCCGACTTGTGGTAAAAATATACGATGGTTGATCCTCATATAATATATCCTCCCTGACCAGCAGAGAATGATTCTCTTATATCTGGGAAAATTAGAATGGCCCAGTCTGGGTCTTTGAGTAAGGTTCGCTATACTATTGGAGCACTGTTCATGGCGCTGGTTCTTAGCTAGTGAACCAGCGATCTACTCTTCAGCCTTGTGACATTGGATGAGTAATCACAGACTAGTACAATCTAAGTAAGAGAGGTACTTTTGTCATCCAATGGTCTTTGTAAAAATCATACGGCCTCTTGTTTATTGGTCTGGTCCTGCCCCGGCTCCGCTGGAAATATCCTAAAGCGGAAGAGCTTCATGATGTCATCAGTTGTACGTCTCTGCTCATATCTAACCACACAGTTATTATAAGAAAATGAATCAGCTCAACCCAGGTTCAATATTATCCTGGATTACAGCATGACCAGTCTAGACCAGACTATCTCAAGCATCCTGGAATATTTAGTGGGCGAAATGCCACGAAGGCTACCTCAGAAGATGTAAAATATAACTGCAGCAATTACTCATCATATTCACCACCATCCATCTACATATTAAGATGAGATTGGAAATTATTGTTCTTGCAACTACAGTCGCTGCCCTCGCGTCCTCGCTCACCCAGCGAGATAGCTCCATTACGTGTTCCAGTGGCAACCAGACGCCAAAATGCTGTCACATCCTGGTTCCAGTCAAGGTATTAGGGGAAACCGTTGACATCGGAGTGGGATGTGTGGACCGTACGAAATATCCGTAGATTATTCTCTCACGATCTTTGATTTAAGCGACGCTGACCGGTTCTACAGTGGGCAGTTCGTGCAAGGGTCAAACACTATGCTGCAATACCGAGAATGTGAGACTTAAACATGACGTCGATGAGGTGAAGCTGACCTTAATAGTTTTTAATTGATATTCTCAACGTTTGCACTGAACCTAGTGGAGGAAGCAGTGGTGGTACAGGTGGTGGCCATGGTCAAGGTGGTTGATTGTGCACTGACACACCTTTTGCCCAACAGGGAGCAATTAAAGATGCTGGCGGAATAATTATAATTAATTGTGCTAGGGTTGCTTTGTTTTCGCAAGAGCTCCTAAAAATGAAATGGGCCAAATTGTAGACCTCGAGAACAAAATTGAGGGACGTAAGGATATAAGGGTCTCTTAGCATTGAAAGATTCGATCAATTTCTAAAGGCAAATTACGGTATTATAACGAAGGCCAATTTTTGTTACCAGGGAATACAATACAGTCTGACAGGGGTTCCTGCGGAAAATGCTAAAATTAGACTGGCGTGTTTCAAGCGAGGCCTCGGGAATGAAAGTCTAAGAGTTTAGAGGTAAATCTGATTTCGAATATTACTGTATATTTGGAACTCACAGCGCGCTATTCACGAACAGTATTCTACAGTTTTCATACTCATTCACCCTTCGCGGCTTTTCTTTCAAGTAGGATATGCTAGTCAGAAAATGGACTAAAAAGGACCGCAATGTCTCCAGCCCATCAACGTCTGATGCGCACATCCTACACATCTCGGTCGAGATCGACCGGGATCCCCGCGGCCACCCTGTGGCGGCGGGCCAATGACAAGCCTTCTATCGCCGACAAAGCCGCCAATCAGCAATATCTCACCCCGCAAGAGGAGCAAGCCCTCGTTGAATATGCATTGCGGCTGGCAGACAACGGGTACCCTCTTCCAGTTAAGTTTTTAAGACCGCTCGCCCTGATCATCGTGCGCCAGAGGTCTTCGATTTTCCAGATTACAGACCCCAGCCTTAAGGTCCGGCCTCCGGGAAAGAATTGGCCGCAGGGCTTCTATCGACGACATCCACAGTTAAAAGCGCGACGGCTGCGAGCGATCGATTGGAAACGAGATGACCAGCAGATTGAAGACAAAATCCAACACTGGTTTGCCATCATCGGCCGAGAGCTGGCCGATCCGACCATTCTCCCGGAGAATGTGTATAATATGGACGAGACAGGAGTTCTACTCAGCGTTCTCAACTCCCTCAAGGTGCTCGTTAGCAAGGACGATTTGAGAAAACACCGAGGGACCACGATGAAAAGGACGCTAGTCACGGCGATCGAATGCATCTCTGCCGATGGTCGATTCCTGCATACTCTCATTATCTGGCCGGCTGTTACGCACCGCAGTTCGTGGACCACTCATGCCACCCCCGGGTGGCATTATGCCTGCTCTAAAACAGGCTATACCAACATGGAAATCAGTCTGTACTGGACGGAACATGTGTTCGATCCGCAGACTCGAGACCGAGCGGGCGGTCGGCCACGACTCTTGATCTGCGACGGTTTCGGCACCCATGAGTCTCTGGAGGTCATGAAATTCTGCTTTGCTAACCGCATTCTCCTATGTCGTCTCCCTTCTCATACATCTCATAAACTGCAGCCGTGCGATGTGGGTGTCTTCAGTCCTCTGAAAACGGCGTACGGGGCACAGGTTGAGCAGGCCTGTCGGACTGGGGCGAGTAATATCGGTAAGCCACACTTCACCTATCTTTATGATCGCGCCCGAAAAGAAGCATTCACACCTCGCAATATACGATAGGCCTGGTCGAGAAGTGGCCTCTTTCCTTTCGATCCGTCTCGCGTCCTCCGGGATTTCCCAGTGTCCCGGCCTGAGGTACAGACCGCAGTCCCTGTGGACCATGCGACTGTACCCTCTAATCTCTGTCGCACTCCAAACACCTCTGATCATTTTTCCTTGCTTTGGAGGGAGGTCGATCAGGACGTCCAGAGTCTGGACAGTGTGTGCAAACGCCGTCTTCAGACATTGAGCCGCGCGGCCGAAAAGGTCTTCGCGGAGCGCGCTTTGTTGCTAGAGGAGAACCGGGTCCTCTTTGAGCAGAACAATGAAAAGACTTCTCGACAATCCAGTGGCCAAACAGTCATAGGACACGCAAAAGTAATGAGCTATGATGATATTGTTGTGGCGCAAATGAAACGTGACATGGCCGTGGCGAAACAAAGGTCTACCCAGAAAAAGACGTCAAAAGCCAAGGATAAACAGCTCTCGAAATCGGAGGAAAAGCGTAAGGCTGAGCAGGAGATTCAAGCATGGGATATGAATGACTATTGTTCGGTCTTAGATTTACAGACTGATTTGACAGTTTAGAACAATCTTTAGTTATTCTGCATCTCCATCAGGTGACCGCGCAATAGTGCCTCGGTACTTTGAACAGCCGGAGACTTGAATCTATATATCTCTTCCTCCTCTCGCCACACTATTTCCTAATAATGCCTCAAATGTAAGTATACTAGCTATAGATACATAGGACTTTCGTGATTTCCTGCAGGTTGTTCCACAAAAGTCACGTCGACATTAGGCTGTCTGTAAAGATATCTTGCCTGAGGCCGGTTGGCCAGCGTGGCGTTCCCGCCTTCCCTTGAACCTGGGCTGTTATGTTATGTAGTGATTGGCTACCAAACCGCTGACTAATTTAAGTAATGAAGCTTTCTGTATGGTCATGATTTTGACTCGAGAAATTTCGAGGCGCCATCATTTTAGGCCCATACTTATTTCCAATCCAGTAAGGCTAAGTTTAGGCCCAAGTGGAGATAGCGTAACCCAAACGCTAAGTTTCCTAGTATTACTGAAAGAAAGTAAAGCAATTCGCAGGCGTAAACGTCGTATTGTCTTCAATATTTGAAACCTCTAGACTGCTTCGAACTACAGCCAGCTGGCCAACGTAGCGTTATCTTCTTTTGCTTGCATCAGATCCGACCGTCATTTCATAGTGACCTTGCTGATCCTGCCCTATTTTCTGGACAGTAGAGTCCGTCGTATTGAAGGTCATATTTTCATTCTGCTTGTATCAGCAACACGATACGAGATCGAGGATAGGAGAATAAGATCGATCTCCACTTACACTTTGCTCCAGTATATTCTTGACAGCCGTGTTAATCACTGGATCCCGCTCCGATACAGAGCGCAATTCCTTCATGACTTTGAGAAGCTTATCCATTTCCTCCTCGCCCGCCTCTTCTTCATCGGCCGCAGACGGAGTGTAAATTTGGTACAGTGCGTCAATGTGGTCATTGATGTCCTTAACCAGCTTCTCGAGATGCTTCTCGTCATAAATAGCGAACTTGAAGAGTCGAGGAACTGACATCTTGTTTCTGCGCTCGTGGACGATTTTTTGCATTGTCTCATGAAGGTAACGGTGCATGACGCTCCACTTAAAACCATCCTGGCCGAACGGCTTTATTTCGTTCGCTTTCACTTCAGGGTCATCCTCGGACTTTCCATTGCGTTCGCGGTGACAGATTTTGCTGGATTCCTCGAAGAGATTCGCTAAGATCTGAAATGTCCGAATAGCCTGATTCTCCTCCTCCTCATCGAGCTGGAACGAGCCTGAGCTTTTCAGCGACTCCTCGTCTTCAATATCTGAGCCTGTCAGACCGACAGCTTGGCCCCAGCGTGTTAGTCTCAGCTGCGCACTGCCAAGCTTCACGATCAGAGACTGTAGTCGCGGGGCCGCCTTTCTGGCAACGTAGATATAATCAAACCAGGTAATGGCCGTGGTAAAAAGACCTGCTAGCCCAGATGCCGCACCAATTACTTCCGCGCCCGTCATCTTAGTGAGGGTGCGCGTGTCTGTGTGTGAATGTATTGGGTGGCTGATGATAATGGACTTGGGGGAGCTCGGGATGGATTCTTGCGCACACTTCTTGAGCAATGTGGTCGAATTTGTATCAAAGAGATCGGCCAAGAGTTCAGACACTCTGTAGATGCCAGATGGTTGTAGGCGCCTAGGTCGCCAGAGCCACTAGAAATGCAGGTTTTGCATCCTGCGACGGCAAAACGACCAATCCGATCCTATTGATCATCCCCACGTCAAAAATGGTCCAAAAATATACCTTGCGGTTTATGCCGGGCGCATTACGCCCGACAAGCGATCGATGGGTGTTGAAGCTGGAGTCGCCGGACGTGGCAGGAATGATGCATTACCTGCGGCTGGAAAGCGGTTCGTGCTCATACCGCCAGAAAATGGGCCAATCTCACGTTGAATGGCTGCCCCACGGGAGCGAATGATCTGCAACAGCGGGGACGCGACGTGGCAATACGATGCGGCGCAGTGCGATCTGTCACACTGCATAAATGCTGTCCTCACCCGATTGCCCCAAGGTGGCGGCAGCTGGCAGTGCAGTGATTGGTGGGCGATGTGTAGGTAAAGGCCCGATATCTGCATGGCTTGCCGCTGAAGCAGCTAACTTACAACTTCGGAGCCAGATGGCAAACCCTGTTCCAACTCGTTTTCAGCTTGACTACCCCGCTTTTAGTCAAATACAAGGCCGAAGGAAGAAGTTGTCTGATCGGTCTTGTGATGACGACTTAGATTATGTGTCACCTACCGAGATTTTCTGCTCAATGCACCGTATTGCAGCGCGATGAGGAGTCAACAGTGGGATAACAATAAGGGATATGTCCAGTTCCAAGGGACCGCGACCAATCCGTAAGTCAATATTGACGATTGTATGACTGTGACGAACAGTGCTGACATAGTATCCTCCAAGCACCTTCATTCAGAATGTCGGAGGTACGTCTGAATATCAACTTTCCTTCTTAGCAGTCCCGAATCTTATATGCCAGCCCAAGATCAAGACAAACAAAGCAGGGATCGCTGCGTCGACTACTTCGCGGTGACCGATCCGCGCGACGTCAAGAGGACCATCCACCAGACAAGGGGGGCCGCCCTCAAGAAATCCTATGACTGGATCCTCCGCCATCGCCAGTTCCAGCGTTGGCGCGACAGCAACGATAGCCAGGTTCTTTGGATCAAAGGCGATCCCGGTAAAGGCAAGACTATGCTGCTCTGTGGTATCACCGATGAGCTCTGCCCTGCCACGAAACTAGCAGATCCCCAAGCCAAGACATTCTTATCTTTCTTTTTCTGCCAAGCCACCGTCCGCAAGCTGAGTAACGCTCATGCCGTTCTGCGCGGATTGATCTATATGCTCGTGAAGCAGCAGCCATTGTTTCTCTCACACGTGCAGGAGAGATTCAAGGATACAGGGGAGCCGCGATTTGGGGATACGGAAGCATGGGCTGCATTATGCAATATGTTCTTGGAGATCTTGCGCGACTGGAACCTGGATAAGATCTTCATCATGGTTGATGCTCTCGACGAATGCGTACAGGACCAAGACAAGCTCCTCCAGTTCATTCTTCAAGAGACAAAAGAACTACCGCATATCAAATGGATCATCTCCAGCCGGAACCATGTCGAACAGCGCATAAGGCTAGTGGACTCGCAATCAATACTGAGCCTGGAACTGCAGGAGAACACAGATTCTGTATCTGAGGCTATCGGTGTTTACATTTCCGACAGGATATCGAAGCTTGAATCTCTACAGGATAATCCGGACCGGGAATATGTTCAACGGGCCCTTGAGAAGAAAGCCGAGGGAACGTTTCTCTGGGTGGCTCTCGTCGTCCAGGAACTCGAGGACGTCGACAGCTGGGAGGTGAGGCAGGTGGTCGACGATATACCAAAAGGGCTGGATGATCTGTATGCGCGAATGATAGATCATATCAATGATCCCGCCGCGCGAAGCGGAGAGTACTGTCAGCTGGTTCTCTCGGCGACCACACTGGCCTACCGGCCGCTTCAGCTACTGGAGCTAGGAGCAGTGTCCGGACTCCCAGACGTGATCGCCGGCAACGCTAAGAATATGGAGAAGATTGTCAAGAAGAGCGGCTCCTTCCTCACGGTCCGCGACAAGACAGTCTATTTTGTGCATCAATCTGCCAAGGACTATCTGATGGAGAAGGGTGGCCTGAGCATATTCCCCTCTGGTCCTGCGGCTGCCCACCACCGAATGTTTACACAGTCACTGTGTATCTTGAAGAGTACATTACGGCGCGATATGTATAATATGGGCGCTCTAGGTACTCCTATCAACGAGGTCAAGCAGCCTGAGCCAGATCCGCTCGCAGCAGGGCGTTATTCATGTGTCTACTGGGTGGACCATCTCGAACAAGCTGGATCATACGAAGAACTTCAGGACACTGGAACCGTCGACACATTCCTCCGAACTCGATGTCTCTACTGGCTCGAGGCACTGAGTCTTCTTCGAAGCGTAACGGATGGGGTAATGTCGATACAGAAACTCGGGGTTCTGCTACAGGTATGGGTTCGTTTCTAGCGCTTCATACTGTTCTAATACCGCCATAGGAACAATCAGCAGCATCCGGATTGAAGAATGTGGTCCAGGATATCTACCGATTTATACGCTACCATCGGTGCGCAATCGAAAACAGCCCCCTCCAGGCGTACGGTTCGGCGCTGGTATTCAGCCCACTGCAGAGTATGATCAAGCAGCTGTTCCGGCACGAGAGGCCTACGAATATCGCGATCGCGCCGCTTATGGGGGATGACTGGGATGCGCACAGCGGTGCCTGCCTGCAGACGCTAGAGGGACATAACTGCGAGGTCGGATCAGTGGTGTTCTCTCACGACAGCAGCCGCGTTGCGTCCGGGTGTTGGGGCAACACGATCAAGATCTGGGATGCGCAGACCGGCGCCTGCCTGCAGACGCTGAAGGACCATTATCACTGGGTTAATTCAGTGGTGTTCTCCCACGACAGCAGCCGCGTTGCGTCCGGTTCGCGCGACAGGACGATCAAGATCTGGGATGCGCACACCGGCGCCTGCCTGCAGACGCTGGAGGGCCATGATAACAGCGTCACTTCAGTGGTGTTCTCCCACGATAGCAGCCGCATCGCGTCCGGGTCGTACGACAGGACGATCAAGATCTGGGATGCGCACACCGGCGCCTGCCTGCAGACGCTGGAGGGCCATGATAACAGCGTCAAATCAGTGGTGTTCTCCCACGACAGCAGCCGCGTCGCGTCCGGGTCGGGCGACAGGACGATCAAGATCTGGGATGCGCACACCGGCGCCTGCCTGCAGACGCTGGAGGGCCATGATAACAGCGTCAAATCAGTGGTGTTCTCTCATGACAGCAGCCGCGTCGCGTCCGGGTCGGGCGACTGGACGATTAAAATCTGGGATGCGCAGACCGGCGCCTGCCTGCAGACGCTGGAGGGTCATTATGGACCAGTCAAGTCAGTGGTGTTCTCCCACGACAGCAGCCGCGTCGCGTCCGGGTCGAGAGACAAGAAGATCAAGATCTGGGATGCGCACACCGGCGCCTGCCTGCAGACGCTGGAAGACCATGATTGGGAAGTCAACTCTGTAGTGTTCTCCCACGACAGCAGCCGCGTCGCGTCCGGGTCGGAGGATGAGACGATCAAGATCTGGGATGCGCACACCGGCGTCTGCCTGCAGACGCTGGAGGTCCATGATTGGGAGGTCAATTCAGTGGTGTTCTCTCATGACAGCAGCCGCGTCGCGTCCGGGTCGGGCGACTGGACGCTTAAGATCTGGGATGCGCAGACCGGCGCCTGCCTGCAGACGCTGGAGGGCCATGATAACAGCGTCAATTCAGTGGTGTTCTCCCACGATAGCAGCCGCATCGCGTCCGGGTCGTACGACAGGACGATCAAGATCTGGGATGCGCAGACCGGCGCCTGCCTGCAGACGCTGGAGGGCCATGATAACAGCGTCACTTCAGTGGTGTTCTCCCACGATAGCAGCCGCATCGCGTCCGGGTCGTACGACAGGACGATCAAGATCTGGGATGCGCACACCGGCGCCTGCCTGCAGACGCTGGAGGGCCATGATAACAGCGTCAATTCAGTGGTGTTCTCCCACGATAGCAGGCGCGTCGCGTCCGGGTCGAGAGACAAGAAGATCAAGATCTGGGATGCGCAGACTGGCGCTTGTATGCACACGCTGGAGGGCCATAATAACGACGTCACCTCAGTGGTGTTCTCCCACGACAGCAGCCGCGTCGCGTCTGGGTCTTGGGACGAGACGATCAAGATCTGGGATGCGCACACCGGCGCCTGCCTGCAGATCCTCAGCGGTGCCTCTGCTGTGAGCAATCTTTCTTTCGACGCCACCGGCTCATCTCTTCACACTACCGTCGGAATTGTCGCCCTTCGCGACTCGCCGACACCTACCCGTACCTTTTCGACAGAGGTTCTCCCTTTAGAAACCCAATCACTTCCGGCCACTCACCAGTCGCAAGCCCCTGAGTACCAAGGCTACGGTATCTGTTCTCATCGGTCCTGGATCACACGGCATTCCCAAAACTGGCTATGGCTGCCTCCTACATATCGCCCAGCCTGCTCGGCTGTAGGACGGTCTGGACTAGCCGTGGTACTTGGTTGCCTGTCTGGTCGTGTCTTGATCTTCGGATTCGCGCCGGGGGATGCTGACTGAACGGTTCACGGCCATGGTCAATAGCCGGAAGTAACGGACAATCGCACGCAGGTTTGGTCTTGCCACGCACAGTGGTTTCTCCTGGGCGGCCGCGGTCGTCACCTGATCGACGGCCCGAGCCTAGCGAGGTAATCTTCCGTAATAATTACATACTTGCTGAGGGGGTACTTCCATATTAAGCCGCTGTAGTATATTTCATACTCAAATTTACACTAACGTTATTTTCCCATGTATTCAACTTCATAAATTTGTAATATTGGTACCTCGCCGCTGCCAAGAGTTTCGCTCAACTCAACCTTGTCGTAAGTCACATCATTTTAATGGCCTGAAAAGATGATGACCGCGATTGCAAAATTACACTTACGCCGAATTATCCTTCACACTCATTTCTGATGTCATGGTGGATGATCTTGGCGTTCCTGTCGTCAACGGCAGATTTCCTAGTAGTACATGAGGTCTTGTACTTCAGCATTGGGACAAAGTATTTTTTTCTGTTTCTAGAGAGCAGTGATATGAAAGGTCGCCTAGCTGTTGTATTCACCATTTTCAGATAACAATCAAATTGTGGCTAGAGAATGAGGATGCTGGACTGTGCAGGTACCTCGCGGCTGTTTCATCACATAGGGCATTTCATTTCACCGGGATGGGGGTTAGGCTAGATTTACACTACATAAAATGATTGTATACTAAGGGGCCTGGTAAAAGACAGTCCGTAGAGAGCTGCGATCCTACAATGCCAGCCCGCTTAACTCCATTTTCTGTCTTAGGATTGACACAGAAGATGGATATAACTTTAGATGATCACAATGACACAGCCGAGCACAGCAGTAAGTCTACAGCTCTGGCGCTGAAGCTATTTGTCAATCGAAGAAATTCAGGGTAAGAGAGAGAACATTGGTACATTATGATCAGTCTGGGCGACAAGGGAATACATCGTGGGATGAGGATTTACAGATCAGGAAGCAAGCCGCACCATCGGAAATAGCTACGAGATGTCTACATATACAATCGAGTTGATTTAATATCAACTTGGCTCCAAATTGTATATATAGCCTCATATTTCTTCAAGAACTAATAATACGATTCATACCTCTAAACAACAAAAATCTATTCCACTGGGTCAAATTGCTCACGCGACAGTCTTCTCCGCGTGACAGAGTAAAAGTGTTGATGCATTCGAGTCATTCACGGCACCGAGTGTCCCATCATCTCTTGGACTATATCAGTAGTATCATTGGCATCCAACGACAGCGTGTATATCGACGATCACAGGCTTCTGGCCTTAGGCGTCCCCAGGCATTCATGGCTCTAATTGGCTTAGATCTCTTTGCAGCGGTACCCAATTTCATATATCGACTTAGTTCCCGGGAATTTGATGCAGGTATTGCTGGTAGGCTATCCAGTTATGGTAGGTGTAATGGTGGGCTTGGGCTCCCAGGAGCTCTTAGCAAAATTTGGACCAACCATTTCCACTGGGGCTTTGTAGTACATGTGGATCTTCCATGACATCGATTGGCTGATTATTCCTCAGTAAATGTCATTCTAAAAATAGTGACCAACGATTACACTGATGACGGGCTGTTCAACTAGGGTAGGTGTAGTTTTGGCTTTGGCTCCCAGGAACTCATAGCCAAATTTGGACCTATCATTTCTACGGAGGCTTTGTGGCACATATGGATTATTCATGGCACCGATTGGCTCATTATTCCTCCGCTCTATGGTATCCAATGATCGCATCAATATTTACGACCCACAGGCTCCTGGGAGCCAAGACCAGTTATTAACCAATAATCTCAAAGACGACTTGTGAGCATGTGGGCCATTGATGGCACTAATTGGCTTATGTTTCCGAGTAGTAGTACCCACCCGCATCCGCTTCGTTCCCAGGAGATTGATGCGGGTAATGCCTTTGCAAAGACGCGGCTGACCGCAGAGGTTTGTTATTCAAAAACGTAATCGAACTAGTGACTGGCTCACCCTACAAGAAACTCTGTTGTGAGATGGGGCTGTGCGAATCAGCCGCGCGCCGACCCATAGCTTGTATCTACTTGATATTGTGTAGGTGATGGATTTTCCCCGATATGGGAGGTAGGCAACGAAGAACCCTGCGGTCTGCCTGCCTTTGGTGAGTTGCTGTTGCGTGGAGTCACGGGCTCATCGCCGGTGAGTGGGATGAAATCACACGATCTTGTCACCTTGCCCGTCGCAGTAAAGGGCGGACTGACGGTGATGAATGTTGATAACTGTTATCGGTTTTTATCTACGGTATCATGGCTGTTTAAACAATGCCAACAGCCAGAAACGTTTCTATTTTCTGTCTGGATCACCATGCGCAAAATTTGATTCCTCTGAGAGTTGCATTAAACCAATGATGAAATGTTGAGTCAGTCATCATTGAAGAGAAGTTCGTGTTTGAGCCCTCGCAATTAAACATGATGATCTTATTGACGCAGAGTGAATGACTTGCTGAATAACTATAAATACCCGGTCCTTGGCCAGCAGTACCATCGTTCACAATAATTCCTTTGTGATTCTGGAACAAAAAGTGTCAAGTATGATTCGTCTCCACGGCTACTCTTTGGTATGGATTGACCTCCAAATCATGCAATAAAATGAGCTGACCTCTTACATCATTGAAGCCTAACTTTTCTCAATAGTCAATCCTTCAAGAAGTGAGTGTAGGTGCCCAATCATTTGAAACCATGCTAACGTGGAGGATACTCAATATTAGCCCATCCTCCGCTCAACACTGAGAATTTATTGAACAAACGTTTCAAGGATCTGGAGTGGTCCAAGCTGGGGGCACAGTAAGTTCCAAGCTGCCTTCACAGGGTACCTACTAATGATTGATGATAAATAGATGTCATACTTTACAAAATTCCCTACTGGGAACAGCATTTACCGACAACGTGAGTCCAAAAACTACGGCAAAATTGATAGCAGATATCATGTGCTGACGGCTCTGTAGGATGGCAAACTTTCTATCGCAAGTCACTCGATGTCTTGTAAGTCACGCTTGGGCTTTTCCCTTCTCTTTCCCAACGCCCGGTACTGCACTTCGATCTCAAAATGAACGCTGGCTGTTCGGGGCTCTCCATCGTTCAGAAAATATCGCTGATGATTCTTTACACTAGACCTGACAGAGCTATGTTCCCCCTCGTCTTCGAGACTAGACCAGCTGCAACAACCTGACGGGCCAAGCCATTTAATCTCACTACACTTGCGTCTTTGTTGTTTCAGAAGAAATGATTGACACGGGCACTTCGCCTGGCGCATTAAGCAAGCCCATTTCAAGAAGGCTTGATGCCTTTTGCTTAGCCATACGGTAAACTTCCAAAGTCTCTCCATTCCTCTCTTCTACATTATCCTGTCCGAACAGAAATTGACAGCCAATGTATTAGCAACTCACCATATTCTGACGGCCATGAGCCTCTTGCCGAGCGAGCCATCGGAGCATCCGCGACAACGAAGAGAGGCCGAGAATCCACCGCCATGGAAAAAGACAACCAACTCTTTCCCAGGTGGCATCAATCAGCAAATTGAAAAGAGCTATTGGCAATAGTCTTAAGGCCAGTTATTTCAATCCTTGATTTCAGTTGATCAAGCGTTGAGACAGCCCATGGCTTAGATCTACCCTTGATGCCTCGCCGCGAGAGCAGTCATTTTTAGGTCGGGGCAAAGTTTGTCGCAAAAAAAGAACCATGAATCTCTTGCCCAGTGATACTTCCTGGCATGGTTGAATATTAGCCCAGAGCCGTATATTGGCAGGTATGGCTAAGTCCATTCCCAGTGGTACAAAGTGATCTCGGATCTGATCCCACTACCTAGTTCCTGGTTTCTCTAGGCTGATTCCAGGCTGCTCACGGTAAGTCTATCCCACCCTCGGTCACCAGAAATCATATTAACATAGAGAGACAGTGAGACAGCCCAAATTCAGCTGGTCTGGTGAGTCCGATCGAGAATGTGCATTATAGCTGGTTTAAGGGGACCTCATCTAGGCCGCGAACAAGGTAAGTTGCGAACAACTATCTTGCGCCAGCTGCTGATAATCGGTGCTAGATTAGGTATATCCAACGGCAAATTGCCTTGGCTGTGGCCTGGTGCAGTCGGTCATTAAAGCTGCTACCATGGCTTATTCATAATTGATCCTGGTTAGTACATTTCCATCTCCAGGATAATTCGGAAGGCAACTAAACATAGTCAAGTCACTGTAATGAAATTAGGTATTTTCCCCCGATGCTATGCTCGATGCAGCCGCCCGCCGACCGAATGCCTCCTCGCTTTCACCACCGAATCGCACGTACCCGCCGGCAGAAGTAGCCTCGCCGGACCGGCCAGTCGATTGCCGAGACGGCCACAATGGCACAGTTGTCATTTGTTATTTGAAAGATGCAGGTCGGATTGGTTTGTTATGTATATGGAAAAGACGTAGTCGAACGTGGCCGCTGATGGTACTCTCAGTGTGGGTGTGGCACGCGTGTTCTACGCAACGCGCCAGCCTTTGATTCCCGTAGCATGCGTCTGGTGCGGCGTCCTCGATGGCCATCAATTTCAATACCGCCGGTTGCTGACTTTGGCAAGAAGGTTGATCGACGCCGTGAAAGTGGCTTCGCCATTCATTTGAGACGGGCAAGCGGTAAAATTAATCCGCAGAGCGAATACTCGGGAAATGATTCGGAACACACAAAGCGGGCTGTGAGCTCGGGCGGACCGCATGGGTGGGTTCTGAATCAGGTTCATCTGATGTACCCTGCGGAAATCGAACCCGCGCCGCTACTGATATACTGATAGTAGATGAGGAATCCCACTAGACCACGCGAACAGAAGGGTCGCCCGCAGTGGTTTTGCTTCATCATACCCACTACTTTCCAAATAATCACACCCGCCGTTCTTCCAGGCACTAAGATCAGCGTTTCGAGCTCCTGGAGTGTCTTTCATTTGATCGGGTAGACACAAAATGATAACTGAAATATGATTAGAGGTATGGAACTTGCTATAGC